CAAAAATACCAGGTACCATCAGGAGGTCCACCAGTGGGGCCAGGACACTAGAAGCCCTCCCACTGTTGACCCCCCCCAGCACCAAGAAGACAGAGCATCACTTGCTTCAGAGTCCCTATCTATACCTTGTGGCTAATAGCCACTGATGGACTTCTACTCCATATGCTTATACAATTCCCTCTTGACGCCGTCCATGCTTGTAGCCGCCACCACCTCCTGTGGCAGTGAATTCCATAGAGGAGGGCACATTACAAAAATGTGAGGACTACTCAGAAGGAAGTCAAATGGGACAAACCAAGCGAATGAAATTGCACCATGATGCTTGGAAACAGTTTAAAACTGAGGCCCAGATAGAACGCTTACCTCAGGTTAGGAAAAGGAGCGTCAAAGCTAAAAAGATGCCTGCATGGTTAGCGACTGAAGTCAAGGAAGAAATAAAAGGCTTCCTTTTTAAAGTGGAAGGATTGCCTGAATGAGGTGAAGAGAAAGGAATGAGCTAAATAGAAAGGAGCACTAGTTTTGGTAAAATAAGTGTAAGTTGACAAAAAGATTGAGCAAAGACAAACAATGTCAGAGCTGTTGTTTTGGGGAAAACTGAAGGGACAAAAGAAAAAATTCTAGGATTAACAGGCAAATCAAAAAGTATAAATCTCCAGGTCTGGAACCTGAGGGTTTCTAAGGAATTCAGATGTGGAAATAGTATATGTAACTTTATTGTGTAGTGGGTTTATTGTAAAGTGGTTGACGGAGGGAAATTCCTGGCAGATTCCTTTGAAATCGTGGGCCGTGCACGCCTGTATTCCTTCTACTGAGATGCCCAGGGGGTCGAACCAGGCCCGCCCCAGTAAACTGACGAGGTCGCCCTCGACCACAATCAAGTCCAGGTTCTTTCTGAAGTTCTTATACTGCACCCGGAAAGTGCCGACTCCCTTGATTGACTTTAGGCCAGGGACACGACGGCGGTGCCACAGGAGGCCAAGAGGAACCCACGTTTCTTGCCGTCGTCCGTGATGTCGCAGAAGGCAAGCGCTGACTTGACGGCCCGGAATCAGGCTGGCCAGTCTTGCGGACGGGTCATGTCGAAGAGCGGCTGCGGCCCGAACCCTGGAGTGGTTGCCATTGTGCGCGTCGGAGCGGATTGAAGAAGAATGGCCTCGGCGGCTTGCTGCGTGCTCTTGGTCCCTCGGCGACAGCCCGGCTCAGTTGCGGCTGAATCCCATCCTCGTCGCCACTATTGTGTAGTGGGTTGCCGACGTAGTGCATAGCACGCTTTATTAGGTACACAACAAGACGGGGGACAAACGGCCCGGGGGCCAACTATATACATCCCTGGGGACACACCCCTGGTCACCATTGGTGGGTTTGAATCTCCCGCCACGGATCCCATTGGCTCCCCAGTGGAGGGACTAGGAGCCTAGTCCCTATTGTTGTTCCAGAGTTAAGCTCTGGCAGCTCTGGCTGACTGCTGGCCCCCGGTGGCGGTCAGCATACACAACATCCTTGTAGTTAAAATCAGCTTCAGTACCACAGGAAAGTAGCAAATTTTACACTGATTTTTAAAAACAGGTGTAGAGCAATGCTCCCTCTAAGCTGTGGAGTCTCATAAGCAAAAATTCTACTTTGTGAGCTACTGGCACTAAAGCTGTGAGCGAGCGATTTGGCTGCATAAATTAATTTGCTCTGGAGCCATCCTTTCTGAGGTAGAACAAAAATGTGTGAGCCGGAGGCTTAAAAACTGTGAGCTAGCTCACACTAACTCAGCTTAGAGGCAACTCCGGTCTAGAGTGCTCCAAGAAATTACAGGCCAGTTTGCCTAACCACATGGATTCTGCAACGGGAAAGCTTGCCTCACTAAACTTTGGGAGTCCTTTGAGCAGGTTAATAAGCATGTGGTTATGTGGTATACCTGGACTTCCAAAAGACTTTTGACAAGGTACTTTGCCAAAGCTTAGCTGAGTTAGCGTAGCAGTCATGGGATATAAAAACAGGAAGCAGAGTATACAAATAAATGGACAGTTCTTACAATGGAGAAAAGTGAGCAGTACTATTAGGAGTGAATATGTCTCTGCCACTGGTGGAAAATTCCCATTGGCCAGTGGCCTGTCCTCCTCCCACCTGAGTCAAGCCAGCCCTGGAGTGAGAAGGGCCGTGCACAGCCTGGGGGAGAAAGCGCCTGTCTGGGCCTCACTGAGGCTGGCCCCAAGAAGGAGATGCCCAATTGAGCTGCAGCCAGTCCAGGGAAGCAGACGCCCAGCCAGGTATACCAGGCTTGGCCCACGGAAGGAGGCACCCAGTTCAGGGAATGAGATGCCCAACCAGACTCCTAGACTTCTGGGGCAAAAAGAGGAGGTGCCCCTGAGGCTTTCCCTCCAATCCTCCAATTGGCACTACAGGTTGGTGTAAAATCTGTGACCAGTCTTTCAAACGTAAAAAAAATTATATAAAGGGAAAAGAAGAGACTTGAGGTAGAAAAGTGTGAATCCTGTCACAAATCTTCCAAGTGTGACTTCTCTAGGTAACGGCTAGAACAGAATCAGCGGTATGGCTGAAGAACCCTGATTGGAAAAGCCTGCAGCCAGGAGAAAAGGTGTGGAGTCACACTGGAGTAAATCAGAAAGACGGACAGACAGAGAAAGTATAACTGACTAAGTTGTGTTCCAGTAGACTCAGATTGAAGGAAAGGAAAAGGGAGGGAAAGAGGGAAAGAGGACAGAACGGCGTTCCACAATAATCCCGCGGACCTCTTATAGCTGAGGAAGTTAATCTTTAACAAAACAGGGGACAAATAATAAGGAATTTAGACCCAGAAGTAAGAGCGCACAAGTCTTCTTTTGCTACTATATGTTACCCCACACAGGAATCTGTATTCCCAGGGAAGGGCTTTGAAGATGCAAAGGAGCTGAGGAAGGATTTCCTCACCTGTGGGTGTCCCAAGAGGGCTTGGTGGAAGCTCGGGGAGGGGGCTGAGCCCCACACTGAAGAAGGGGCCTGAAGAACTCCTCCCACACCCCATATTAGTCTCTCTCCTTCGATGGCTTTATTTTAAACCCACTCGCTCAGCTGAACTCCCATTGCGAGAGAGGAGGCTGGTGAGCAGGCAGGTAGCCAGCCAGAAGCCCTGAAAAAAGGGGTTGCCGTATGCCCAAAGTAGCGGCCGCTGCTGCTGCCCCCACCCACGAGGAAGGTGGATGCGGAAGAAGACGCCCTTGGTCTGAGCCCAGGGGTAGAGCCCGGTCTGGGGCAGGGCCACAGCTCGCCTTTGGAAGCGGCCGGTCCTGGCTGGAGCGGATGAATGAGCCAAACCAGCCACTGCCAAACTCCCCTGGCCCGAACCAGATTTTGCCGAAACACAGAAGTGGATCAAGGTTTTTCTTAAAAGATCAGAACCCTCTTTCTGCCTGTGTAAATAAACTATCCCCCTACCCCCAGGACATGGGATCATTGTCCCTCCCCCTCCCTTCCCCATTGTCCCCCACCCTCTGCAGGGGGATAGATTTGCAGTTGGGTACCTGGACTACGAGGGCTGTGGGGGCTCAAGTGATTCAGCAATTCAAGATCCGATTGCACCGCATGACGGAGTGAGCTCCCGTCTCTGGCCCCAGCTCCTGCCAACCTAGCAGTTCAAAAGCAAGAAATTGCAAGTAGATAAATAGGTACCACTTCGGGGGGAAGGTAACAGCGTTCCGTGTGCCTCGGCGTCTAGTCATGCCGGCCACATGACCACGGAAACATCTTTGGACAGCGCTGGCTCTTCAGCTTGGAAACAGAGATGAGCACCGCATCCCTAGAGTCGGATTCAACTGGCTTTTGAGCAAGGGAAACCTTTACCTTTACCTGGACTACGCTGGTGGACATGATGTCTGAAACTCTCCCCCAACCACACTGCCAATCCCTTGCAGTTTTTCCCTTGATGGTGCAGAGAGTAGCCTGGGTCTGTCTGGGCAGACAGGCTGGATCTTTTTTGGGGGGGGCAGGACCAGGGCAACTATGGGGGGACCTTTTCCTTGGGGCCAATTTTCCTCCCAGTCTGATCCTGGTTAAAGCCACCTGCTCAACAGGCTGTGAATAGGTTTACAAACAAGCAGTTTGTCAAAAAAACAAACAAACCAGCTGCCTGATCTTGACTGGTGAACAGGGTATGAGCTGCACCAGCCTCCCTACTGACTTGTTCGCCCCAATAGCGCTCCGTAAATGAGGTTAGTGAAACGCTTAACTTGGGGCTATATTTATGAGTGTGTGTGTGTAAAGTGCCGTCAAGTCTCAGTCAAATTACGGCAGCCCCGTAGGGTTTTAAAGGTAAGTGATTAAGCAGAGGTGCCTTTGCCTTCCTCTGCAGTCTTCCTTGCTGGTCGCCCACCCGCGTACCAACCCTGCTTAGCATCTGAGATCTGATGAGATCGGGCTATACAATCCCATTCCACATCCCCGGTTATATTTATGCCGAACTCCACCCCAATCCCAAGGATGACAGCTTTTTAAAAATCCTCTTTTTCACGTAAAATAACACATGTGGGCACACACCTTCAAATTTATAAAAACCTATTACCTGTTAATTTACAGGTTTCATAGTACAAGTGAGTCTTTCTCCAACTTCACGAGGAGTTCTAAGCAAAGTGGATGGTAAGGCCCCTGCAGCATATTCCTGAATGTGACTTCGTCTTGGGTCTGTTTAGTCACTGAAAGTGTAACTGATGTGTTATAATCAGTTTGTAGTGGATGGCCTCCTACAGCTTGGTCTCTTGAATGATTTTTTTAAAATATAGATGCCTGTTCAACACCTTCCAAGTCCGCTTCAGAATTAATCCAGTTGAACTGGATACATTTACCAAATGTCTTCTGAATGTCTAAAAAACTGACCAGCCTCCAGTGGCTGGGGAAACACTGACATATGGATGATGACTGACGGCAAAGCCAGTCCTGATAAAAACCTTCGAAGTTCAGCATTCTTTGACCCTGGAAAGGTGACTTAATCCACTCCCCCCCCCCTTTCTTCCTTGCAGAGTCAGACATGAGAAGACAGATACTATTCGTTGCATTAAGTCATGCCGACTGAACGATGTCAACTGTGTTTTGGATCCAGTTCACACCATTTCCCACACTGTCATTTCGCTGCCCACCTTCAGGGAATTTACAAGGCCAGAAGGTAAATGGGTTCCTTTGCTCTGTATGAATAGCCCACAACAGAAACATCACAGAAGTTCCGTCTGTAAAAGACAGCTATTCCTGCAGGAAAATGTTTTCATGGTGTTAAAATGACAGCCAGTCACAGGAGATAAAAATTAAGGCCAAGGCCGATGGTGCAAAATCAGGTAAAAATACATTTTATTACTGTTAAGTCGCTCGCTTAACAAAGAAGTCGGAGAGTGATTCAGCAAGAACACAGCTTTATTCTTCAACTCGAACACAACTCCAACACAGATCAACATCTGATAACCAGAACAGAACAGTTCAGTTCTTACATTGCAGTTGTCCTGCTTTTAAACTCTCCCAGCTAATGTAGCCACACCCACTGTACAAATACCAACCAATACGGTTGTTCATATAAGGACCAATCACAGACGTTCCTGCTCAGGGAGCTTGCTGTAAAGTGATTGGCTAGGTGCTTCCTGGGCTAGCAATGCGATTGGATGGATTTGGATCCTAGCCCAGGACGAAGCTCAACATGGCAAGTCAATTAGATGTTTCACATACATCATGCATTCAATGGCAGCTATTGAATACATTACAATTACTCAGTTAAATTTCCAAAAATTCCCTACGCATTTTGCCAGCAGGGTTCGTCAGGGTAATCTGTTTCTCTCTCAGTAATTCCTCAAAAACAGTTTACAAAGTAGATGGGAAGTGATTTTGAGGAATTACTGCAAGACAAACAGATTCCCCTGACGAAGCCCATTGGCGAAATGTGTAGGCAATTTTTGGAAATTTAACTGAGTAATAAAATATATCCTTACCTGATTTTGCACCATCAGCCTTGGTTAAATTATAGCAGCATTATAGTTAAATGATAGCATCACATTCATACCATGGAGACTTTCTCAATATCACTTCCTTCAGGGTGGGTGGGGCAGATTTCAGGCTGCTGTGCAGATTTCAGATTGGATGACTAATTTCTACAAAGAACAGCCCTTCCGCGCTCAAGTGGCAACTGGAGCGATGTTTCCTACCCCCCTTTGCCACCCCCTACCCTGAGCAAATCTCATGGAAGATAAGAGAAGTTGGTGGGGTTTTTGGCACTGTGCTCCTTAACTGAGTTTGCCGAACGCTGAGACTGGTTGCACGGCACGGATTGTAGCCGCTTTCTGTTGCTGTCACCTTGTTACGCCCTCTCTCTACCCTCAGAGATTATATTCCTTCGTGCCATCACCCCGGCGTACCCCGCCAACCAGGCAGACATCATCTTTGACATCACAGAAGGAAATCTACGGGATTCATTTGATATTGTCAAGCGTTACATGGACGGCATGACTGTGGGTGAGAAAACTTTGCTTCTTTTTGCTGCTCTTATTGAATGCGAAGAATATAATTGAGTTCGTTGTATTTATTAATTAAACTTTTTTGTACCCTGGCTGTCCTCTGGGCTCAAGGCAGCTACGTATGAGACTCAAGAGTAAATATTGCTATGAAATTAACTCGAGGAGGAGGCCTGGGGGAGCTGAAAGGGGGGGTGGTTATGCTGCAGGCCTCGGCAAAAGGGAGGCTGACAAGAGGTGGAGTGCCGGGTGGGTGTCCGGAGGAGAGCTTTGGTTGAGACAAAAGCAGGCGTCGTTTATTTATATGCTCCCTTCCAATCCCCAAGGCAGCAAATGGTCAAAAACATGAGAACAAACTTTAAAACTGTGTGTGTGTACACACACACACACAAGAAGAGAAAGTGAGTGAGAGAGACACAGTGGGAGAATAATTAAACAAAACACATAAATGGGGAGGTGGGTCCACCGGCTGGTAGGAGACAATGATAGAGGGGGACAGATGGATCTCTCTTTGGGAGGGAATTCCATCATTTTGGTGCCACAACCAAGAAGGCCCTTTTTTTTAGCCTCAGTTAGCCAGGGGCATCTGAATCAGGTTCCCGGGACATGACCATAGTGGCCAGGCAGATTTATATGGGAGTAGGTGGTTCTTAAGGTATGCTGGCCTCAAGTTGCAGAGGACTTTAAAGGTCAATACCAGCACCTTGAATGGGGCCCAGAAGTAAAATGAGAGCAAGTGTAGGTGAAAGAAGACTGGAGTGATGTGATCCCTACAACTCATTCGAGTCAGCATTCTGACCACAGCATTCTGTATCATTTGTAGCTTCCAGACACTCTTCAAGGGTAGCCCCATGTAGAGCACATTGCAGTAGTCTAATCTATATGTTACCAGTGCAAGCTACACAGTGGCAGTATCTTTTTGGCAGGAAAAGCTGCATCTGGCTCACAAGCCAAAGCTGGTGAAAGGCACCTCACAGTTCCCCAAAACTTGGTTTGAAAATCACTGGTATATGCAAGACTGGGCTCTGTGGGCAGTCCAGTTCACTAGTTGGTTGCATCATAAGTAGCTATGCTGTTCCACTAGAACTCACCTGTCTTTGGCTATTGGTGTCTCTTGTATAGGAATATCCAAAGAGAATCTTCATTCTCATTATGGCAGGGGTCCAGATTCATTGCCTTGATCCTTAATGTAAGGTCTGGGAGCTACTAGGAGCACATAGCTGTTGTTTTAAACAGGTGTTCGAAATAGCTCTACTTGGATGTGCATGATGGTCTAACAGGATAATTTGAACAGACCAGAAAGCAGCAGAGCCAGGCTGGGTGAAATCCAGAACGTTTGTGATATTCAGAAAATATTTCTGTTTAAAACTCCTTTAACTCTGTAACTACACAATAATCATAACTACCATGTAATTACTTATGATTTCCATTAAAATGTTTTAAAGGAACTTTTATCTGTACTGGTGATAAAACAATAGCAAACACGGAGAAGATTATGGGCTGGGGGGGGGTGGATTTGTTCTCACAGGTTCTCTCAGGCCAAACTATATAGTCTGGCCAGAAGGTGGCACTATTCGCTTCGAGAACAACCTTGCAAAAGAAACAGGCATTATTTCGCAATTTACCAAACAGCAGAAATGTCAAGTTGAGTGCCAAGGCAGAACTTGTTCACACAGGTCTAAAATAGAAATATTTCTGAAAACAGTAGCTAAATAATTGGATGGAGGTATTGTTTTACAAGGGAGATTATAAATGATGGACTGGCTTATTTATTTGCCTTTGCTGCAGTACAATCCCCGGATCTAGCCCTTTAGTTTTCCCCAGAACAAAGAATAAACTGCATGCAGAGAGGCTGCAGGAATTATGGGAGAGCTGATTAGGAAATTTTCCCCAGAGCTCAGTAGCTTGACCCAGCTGACCCCTGGGGCAAGAGGCAGGCGCTTCCTGCTCACCCAGCCTTTGGGCTCAGTGATTTTACATGAGGCGTACTGATGGCTTCTTCATACTTGTCCTGTTCCTCTCTTTCTGTGCTTGCAAGTGTCCCCTTAGCAACTCCTTTTTCGGGAACTCCCAGCCATTTCAGACTCCTTTCTCTGATAACATTATCAAGCTGCAGAATCCTACCTAGCATTTATCTACGTTCATTCACATCTGGTTTCCTCAAGTTCAAGGTACTCATTTAACTGTACTCACGTGTAGCTTTCCCTTAGATTAAGAGTTATGTGGTCATTTAACTTCAAAGTTTACACTTCATCAGCCAAGTCTTCCCTACTGGTCAGGATCAAGTTTCGAATATCTAATCCCCTCATTCCTTCCTCCACTTTCTGAAAGAGGAAGTTGTCCACATGGCAGGTCACGAATTTCTTGGGCTCTCTAGGCCCAATAGACATCAGGACCAGGGCTATTTTGGGGCAGGAACGCACAGGAACGGAGTTCCTGCTGGCTCCTGAGTTGGCCACGCCCAGCAGGAACTCATTAGCATAATAGGCCACACCCAACAGCAGAAACTCATTAGGATTGGCTACATTCGGGGTGTGTGGCCTAACATGCAAAGGGTTCCTGCTACAAAAAAAGCCCTGGGTTTTGACAACAAACAACGTAAACAGAATAAGAAGCAAAAGGTGGGTGTGGCTGGATGACAACACTTCTGGTAACATGGGGGTGTGGCCTAATATGCTAATGTGCTGTGCTGTCCAGGTGTGGCCTACTATGCTAATGAGTTCCTGCTGTTGGGTGTGGCCTGTTATGCTACAAAAAAAGCCGTGATCAGACATGCCATTTGGTGCGGAGGGGAAGTGCCTTTATTTCCTCTGGTGGAATTTGACTTGCAGTTGCGTGATCACACATCCCTTTGTGCTGCGGGCTCAGCCTGTCATTGTGTGATCAGATGCCCCTCGGGCGAGTGGGCGTTCTTTGCCTTTTGTTTTCCATGCGCATAAACGAGGAATCACACTTCTGCACTGAGGGCTCCCCATGGAGTGTACAGTTATGCGCATACTGCTAAGTGAGGAAAAAAACCCGGCACTGAGTCAGGATGGAATGATCAGACCATCCTGATGGCTTGAGAGTGTGCTTGAGTGATCAGACAGGGGAAAGTCCATCCATGGCCTCCCGGCAAGTGTTAGGACCGGACTTTCCCCAGTGCCCTTTAACTCCGCTCCTGTGGTGGGGCAACAGGGGGTGCCGATGACTGCAGGACATTTCCCAGATGTTGCTGTCTGATCATGCCCTTTAGATCCATCAGGCATTTGCAGGTGAGTCAGATCTAAAGGCATGTCTGACCACAGCCTAATTCTTCCTTCCTGAAAAGGCGGTCATTTGTTTCATCCATTTTCTCTCATTGGTTTGGTAGGCACAATTTTCTTTTATTAGGTAAAGGTAAAGGTTTCCCTTGCTCGAAAGCCAGTCGAATCCGACTCTAGGGATGCAGTGCTCATCTCCGTTTCCAAGCCGAAGAGCCAGCGCTGTCCAAAGACATTTCTGTGGTCATGTGGCCGGCATGACTAGATGCTGAGGCGCACGGAATGCTGTTACCTTCCCACCGAAGCGGTACCTATTCATCTACTTGCAATTTCTTGCTTTCAAACTGCTAGGTTGGCAGGAGCTGGGGCCAGAGACGGGAGCTCACTCCATCATGCGGCACACTCGGGTCTCGAACTGCTGAACTACCAACCTTCCGGTCTGCAGTTCAGCGTCTTAACCACTTGAGCCACCACACCCCTTTTCTTTTATTACTGTCTCCATTTACTTTTATCCTGCTATTCTCCATGTATGTGTGTGTTAACAGTGCCAACAAGTCACTTCTGACTTATGACGATCCTGAGAATGAATGACTTCCAAAACATCCTATCATTAACAGCCTTGCTTTGGTCTTACAAACTGGGGCCATGGCTTCCTTGATGGAGTCAATCCATCTCATGTTGGGTTGCCTTCACTTTTTCCTAGCATTATTGTCTTTTAAGTGGCTGTTGTCTTCTCATAACGTGACCAAAGCACAGTAGCCTCAGTTTAGTCATTTTAGCTTCTAGGGATAGTTCAGGCTTGATTTCATAGAAGCATAGAGTTGGAAGGGACCTCCAGGGTCATCTAGTCCAACCCCCTGCAGAATGCAGGAAATTCACAACTACCTCCCCCACACACGCCCCCCGTGACCCCTGTTCCATGCCCAGAAGATGGCAAAAAACCAACCAAAACCTCCAGGATCCCCGGCCAAACTGGCCTGGAGAAAATGGCTTCCTGACAAAGTGGTGATCGGCATTTCCCTGGGCATGTAAGAAAGGGCCACGAGAACTAAGCATAGATGCAATCCTGCCTGCCCTCCCTCTCATGATCTAGATTAGGAAATTTCCCCTCACTTATTTGGCTTTTGTGGTGGTCCATGGTATCTGTACAACTCTCTTCCAATACCACATTTCAAAGGTAGGGCCACCATATTCATCCTCTTGGACCTCTATGGAATTGTACACATTTTTGATGTTCTCTGCTACTCCCCCCCACCACCACCACCTTCTGTTGCATCTGTTCTTTTTGAACAACTTATAGCCTTGAATACTGGCTACATTCCGGTCATGGACACCATCCCGCCCAGTCTCAGTAATACCTATTAAATCATATTTACCTATTTGCACTAGGGGTTCAACCTTGTCATGTTTATTTCTTGTACACTGTCTACATGCATAGCCATGCACCTCATGTTCCAGTGTCTTTCAGTTTGGTGTAGTGGTTAAGCGCAGACTCTAATCTGTGAGAACCGGGTTTGATTCCCCCACTCCTCCACTCGCACCTGGCTGGATGACCTTGGGCAAGCCATAACTCTGGCACAGCTGTTCTTGAAAAAAGAGCAGTTTCTGTCAAGAGCTCTCTCAGCCCCACCTACCTCACAGGGGATCTGTTGTGGGGAGGGGAAGGGAAAGGAGTTTGTAAGCCCTCTGAGACTCCTTTGGGTAGTGAAGGGCGGGGCATAAATCCAACTTCTCTTCTTCTTCTCTTCTTCTTCTTTCC